TCACGAGTATGCAACAGGGACTGTGTGCACCATGGGCCGATGGGAAGGGGCAGACCAACGAGCTACAGAAGTATACGTCAAGAGGCAGCGCCCAGCCATTCATTCATTCCTGCGTGAGCCATGCGGACACGATGCCACTGCGTCCCGTGCAGGGTGGTATGCAGATGCCCGAGGAAGAAGCAGGCTTGAAAAATAGAGCTTAGCCATTGCTGTGATGGGTGACAGCGGCCGTAGTTGCCGCAGTTGTAGGTGAGTACCGTGCGTGTGTGTGTTATCCAGGGCGTCCCTAACCTGAGTGTGTGTGAACGACAGAGTTGGCCATAGTGACTAACAGGGAGTCGCTGGGCGTAATAGCTCCATAGTCTATCAAAGGTGAGTTCCCATCCATACTCTGTTGTCGGTTTCTGAGTTTTCTGGATGGGCTCTGACTGCATGTTTGCTGTGCTACCTGTTTGTTTGTATGTAAAGTCTGTCTGTAAGTAAAATAATAATGATAATAATAATAAATAAAATAACAATAATAATGGAAATGATAATAATGATAATCAAAATAGTAATAATAATAAACGAAATACCAAAATTCAAACAATAAAATGGAAGGAAAATGAGCCATAGGGAATTTTCAGAAATCAAACAGCATCATACCCATGAGACCCGATATTCGTGACCTCGATTCAGTAATTAAAATTGCATCACGAGTTCTCCCAATTGCGATCACATCAAAAGCTTGTAAGTGACAATGCTGGTACAGCCTCCTCCTCATCATCAATGAAGAACCGATATTAGTCCTATCTGGCGCTCGGCGCCCAGACGACAAATGGCAAATCCTACCTAGCCTATCTACAATGTTGTTGATGATGTCAACAACTCCCCATAATAGCAGATCTTGGCCAATGCCGTTCGCCTGCGTCACCAGGTATCTCTTTCGCACCTCTCACAACCTCGATCACCCACTCATAGATGCCACGTGGACCCAGGGTCCATAACGCATCTAATAATAATAATAATAATAATAATAATAATAATAATAATTATTATTATTATTATTATTATTATAAAATTAAAAAAAAAAATACAAAATAGCGAACTTCAGTAATCAAACAGCATCATACATATGAGTCCAGATAGTCTTGACCTCGAACCAACGGCAACATTGCATCATGAGATTCACCAACTAAGAACTCACCAGAAGTTCATATTTGACAATGCTAAAATATCCCCACCATCATCAACGAAGAACTAGAGTTGATATCCTATCTGGTGCTCGGCGCCCAGACTACATGTGGCAGATCCTATCTATCCTATCTTCGACGCTGCCAATGACGTCAACAGCTGCCCGAAGTACAAGCAGATATCGGCCAATGTCGATCGCCTCGAGCACCAGGTAGGTTCTTCGAATCACTCACAACCTCGACCCCATCACAAAGATGCCACACATACCCAAGGATCATCATGCTCCACATAATAATAATAATAATAATAATAATAATAATAATAATAATGATAATAATAATAATATTGTAATAATAATAAAAAAAAAAAAAAAAAAAAAAAAAAAGCAGTAAAATGCAAGGAAAATAAGCAGTAGCGAGATGACAATTACATATTATATCATCACATTGAAAGCCAGATAGTCACACTGTGTCCAGAGAGCAGCACTGCATCAATGACAATGGAGGTTCGTAGTAAGACTAATGTCAAGGAGAGCATACTCTCTCCACACCAACACAAGAGTCGAGTCCCCTCACTCTCCTACTTGGCATTCATCGCTCAGTCTAATTCTACATGGTTACTACAGCCTACGAATTGACGATGCAACTGTTGACATCAGCAGCGACCCGAGGTACTTAAAGATGTCGCCTATGCAGACCATCGTCAATACAAGGTAAGTTCTCTCACATCATCGTCATCATCATCCCTTTTCTCTTTTCCTCACATTCTTTCTCTCACTCTCTCTCTATCACACACACACACACACACACACACACACACACACACACGCGTAGTACTGAATACTTCGACGTTGCAGAGGAAGATTCGACTCGATTTTGCTCATGCACTCGATGGAAGTTGCGAGAGGACAGCCGAGCGATCGACACTAGTTAACACACATACACATACTCACACACGCACACACACAAACATACTTACACATAATCATACACACACTCACACAAACATACATACGCATATTCACACGCTCGCGTATATGTACGTATCTACATCTATACACAAGCATATATACACACACATGGCTACCCCACGAACAACCATGCCGAAGGTGAGACAGTGGCTGGCGCAATTGGCAAGGTTCACTTCCATATCGTAGTGAGAGACTCCTCCGACTTTAGCTGCTTCTTCAGACAGAAGCCTCGAGGATCGGCCGTGATATTGGTGGCTTATCTGTTGGTCGGTACGTTGTTTCTTGATCCTACTCGGACAGCAACGGCTACTGAGCCTTCTTTCTAAGCGTCGATGGCTATGCCGAATGCATTCTTCGCGAGTGTGGACAGGAAGATGACACCACAACAACTTGAAGGCCGCATCCGTTGTCCCCAACGCCCACGGGATGTCAATACTGAAGACAAGAATCGGCGATGAGTAAGTCGCCTTCATCCCTCCTGTCTCCTTACTTCATCCTCCTCTCCCCCTTCTTCTTCTTCTCCTCATCCTTTTTCTTCTCCTTCTTCTCCTTCTCCTCCTTCTTCTCCTTCTCCTCCTTCTTCTTTTCCACTATTTCTTTTCATGCTCCGTTTCTCCTACCTACCAGTTGCGCTCTTCTTCTCCTACTTTTTCTTTTCCCTCTTTCTCGTCTCTCTCTCTCCTCTAGGCCACGCTACGTTCTTTCTCCTTCGTGCGTCGTCTTTGTCTTCTCCCTCACGCTCCTCTTCCTCTTTTTGCATGCTCTCCTCGTCTTCTTTCTTACATGCTCCATGTCTTCTCCCTTCTGTTCACCTCCGCTTCAGGGGTGAAGGCTCGATAGTGGCCGAGTCCGAATGTCAGTGTATGCTCCCACGATTAAACGGGGAGGCTTATTCGATCTGGCTCCTCCCCTTTTCGATGAGAGTATCACGAAGTTAGCCTCGACTCACTTACCCAATCGCACACACATACATACACTAATCACATAAGTACACACACACACTCGTGCCTTCATATACATTTGTACATACGCGTTGTAGTGATCGCTTTCATAACCTAGCGGCAGATTCAAGCGTCATATTTCATCCTATCGATGGTGATAGCGTGAGATTCCCAGCACGACTCACTCACGCACACACGCCCATATACCCACTTCTTCACTCACATCCGTTAATGGCGATTTCTCTGGCAAACAGGGCGGAAGCATGACAATGGGTTAGCACATGTGGCGATGCCTATTTCCACGTTGTAGTAGAAGATTCATTCGATTTAGCTTTTCAACACTGATGGAAATACCACAAGGCTTGTCGCGTGTTTTGTATACACCCACCCTCACTAACACACAGACGAACATAAAAAACACACGCATACACACCCCGTGGCAATGTATACGACGTGGAGCTAGTATTCATTGGATTTCGTTTTATCCCTTGACAGAGGTAGCGTGTAATGTATAGTCAGTAAGGGGTGTTGGAGACTTACCGACTGCCTATCTCACGCTCCTTCGATGTCGTCTTGGTAGTAGTCCTCACCTACTATCAGATACTCCTCGCGACATAGGCATTACTCCCTTTTCCTTACTTTCCTCCTTTTCCTTCTTCCCCCTCTTCCTATTCTCCTTCCTTGTCACTACCGCACACGATCCTTCCCCCTCAGCTTCTCTTCCCTCCTCCTACTCTTTCTTATCTTCTCCTTCTACACGTTCTCTTACGGGATAAGTAAGTTGCCTTCACCCTCCTTCTCTCCTCTTCCTGCACTCACACGCCCGCTTCCGTACTGCTCTTTTCCCGTGTCCGTTCTCCTTCCGTGCGCATCTTTGTCACCGCCTTCTGCATGCGTTACACCCGCGCCTGCTCTACTCAACCTTCTTCCGATCTTTCCGCCTTCTTTCACGCGACCTACCTCTCTCTCCGCGCGATCTCTTCTCCCTGCTGCTCACAGGGTTTTACTTCTTCCCCTCCTGCTTCTGTGCACTTCCTCTCTGCTCCGCAGTACCAACTCTGTCGAGCTTCAGCGAGGGTGAGTCGTGATTTCCTGGTAGGACTGCCGAGCTTTCGATTGTGGCTGGTCGAGTGGCCTCGGCTCGAACGAATCCACCCTCAGTAGCAGGCCGGATTCGCTCGAGTATACTCTCGAATTTAGTTGAATAAAATAAAGGAAAGTAGAAAAATAAAAAGAAAGAAAAATAAAATTTTGAAACTAAATCTAACTTCTAACTTCCCCGTTGAGACAATTGTCAGATCAGGGGTTTAGGCTGAACTAACCCCCTTACACAGAGGTCACGGGTTCAAGTCCCGCCCGTTTGAGTGCTGGCAAAACAGGCAGATCCCGCCCCCTACAGCTAGCAAAAAAAGCTCACCTAGAGGTAAGTCGAACTCAATCTCAGAATCCTTCACATATCATTCTGTGTTTGTACCTACTGGGCTGGCTCCTACTTCAATTTTACTAAGCGCTAATTTGCCCTAAGTAGAGTACAGGGCCTGGTCTAATCAGCATATAAGACCCGCAGTCTACCGTAGGGGAGACCCTGGCCATCGTTGGCCACCGCAGCCTGCTACAACAGGCTAGGCCCTCCTTTCTAGTCGCCCCGGCCACATGGCCGGGTCCTTTATTAATTTCCACCTATATTCTAGTCTGCGGGGAGTGGTTTTTCCGTCTCGCTTTCCCGACACACTCGACATCCACGGACTCGAGCCGAACCAGTCATACTTTCTCAGTCATCACCTAACTGACAAAAACCGTCGCCGCATCCCGTGCGATCTTTTTCGTCTTGACTAACCCTCCGACCTTTGTGGTCGGAGGTTTTATTTACTAACCATTTTGCAGTCTCTGTGCGTGTCGGAATGGCGCGCGTGGTTATTCAAATTCTTAATTTACTAACCTTCGTCGTCTCTGCATGCGCTGCGACGTCGCAGACGAGCATTCAAAATTTTTAACCCCTGACTCTTGTCTGCGCGTGCCGTGTTCTGGCCCTTGCGGTTACTAAACTTTCATGACCATAACATTCGAGGGGTTTACCCCATTTTCGGTTTTTAGCTGTCTCCGTTACTGGCAGTTGGTGTGGACATCGTGTCGACCGCAAAATCATGAGCGGATACCCTTGTAAGGGTATCAGCTCCGACACCGCACACGGAAGCCAAGTGATGCGGCAGTACTTGACTTCCTCCTTCGCGAGGAGCTTGGATGCAGCCACATACACAAACGCGGTGTCGAGTTCATCGGCCCTCGCGCGAGGGCCCTCCCGGCTGCGTCACGCAGGAGAAACTTAGACTTTCAACCTTTTAGAGACAACTCGGGGATGACACGGTAACCCGCGTCGACCCTTCGCCGCTCCGGCCGAGTGCGCCAACTGTACATCCCGCGGTCCCCTACGACACGATAGGTTCTCGCGGGGCACAACTTACCTCCCCTAAGGGGCTGTCACCACCCTTAGGGGCGTATCTCGGACGACCTACCTCTGCAATTGCATTATAAAAGCCTTCGCACATGGTTCGGTCCCCCACGTGAGCGAGGGCCCTCAGGCCACATCACGCATGGGCTTAGTGCAAATGGCGTTGACCTTCTCGATACCGAACTTGTCGAACACGTCCTTCCATCGCTCCACGACGACCTTTGTTGTTTCCTGAACAACACCGTCCCGCTGCACAATCCTGAAAAGATACGCTCCCGTGGGCCCAGCAGCAAGGAAGTTGACTATCTGGTCACTCGTGATGGACTTGCGACCATCCATGAGGATGGTCACCCCCGTCGCCGCAATGTCCTTGCGGACGACCGCCACCATGTCCGCCACAACTCGTTGCTGCTGAGGGATGCCACCGCAGGAAATTACACGGTGCATGAGTAATGCCGGATGTGTGTACGATGGATACTCAAACAACTTCTTGCTCATCGTATGATACTCTGGCCTCCTCGCCGTCTCAAATGGAATGTCGCTCACGTACCACCACTGCAGGAAGGAGTCGAAAAAATCTCGTTGCCACACCGGATCGAAGGTCTCCAGCATGGACGTCTGTCGAAGAACTTTGCTCTTCTTCGGCAGAGGAGGTGCTGATCTAGCCTCCGTGGCAGTCATCTTCGCCTTCCTCTTTCTCTTCTTCGATCCCATGGCCTCCTTCATCGTCTTGGCAACCCCCTCTTGCCCACGACGGCCAGCGGCCATCAGCCCCCCATCAAGAGAGGGTCCAATGTTTGCTCCCTGATCGTCGTCGTCGTTGTCGTCGTCCTCGTCAACGGTGCTGTCCTCATCAATGGCCTTCTCCCCCCTCATTTTACCCCTAGCGCGCTCAGCCTCTCGCCGCACCTCCATGCCCTGTGTATCACTGTCACCATCATCATCTCCACCCTCGACCGCCCTCCTCTCGTCCTCGTTGTCCTCGAACTCCTCCTCCCCCGCCTGCTCCCTTCCCGAACTACATCTGTTGTCTCAAAATCCACGAGACTTCAAGAAGTCCAGGATCTTCCGGTGATGGTTGTGATCGAACGCGTAGTTCGTCTTGTTCCAGATCTCCGCCAGCTGCTCCACGGAGACTTTAGCGCAATTGTTGTTGACCGTGAAGTGTTGTGCGACCTTCATCTGGCTTCCCTGAAACCCCTAACCGCACAATTTGCACTCCATGAGGAAATTGCCATTGGAGTTCGGCATTGTTTGGCCCTTCGCAATCCACTTAAAACCGCAGAACTTCAGCTCCACCTCCCTTTGTTTCTCTTTATTGATCGGGACGAATGGCTGCTCTCCCCTTCCTTTCCTGGGCCCCATTGCTGCCAGCCCAGTGCCCACAGACTTCGAAGCAGAGTACAGCGCCCACGGTCGTTCCCAGGCCCGGCCTCCGCCCCCCAAACGTTGCCC